GTGGGGGGGTCACCTTCCCCCCATGAATACACACACACATACATACACACACACACACACACACACACACACACATACAAACGATGACGATTTTTTTATTTTTTATTTTTATTGATTGATTGATTGATTGATTGATAATCATTGGGGGGTCGCCTCCCCTCCGCGAACACACACACACACATACACGAACAAAAACAAGTGTGACAATGTATATTTCCATGTTCTACTGGTAGATTTATTCGTTTTTGCTTTTTTTTTTTTTCTCCTTTTTCGACCACAAAAAAATTTCTTTAAATAAAAAAAAAAATACTAACGTGAACCTCGAGACCCCCCCTACCATCCTTGGGGTTCAAGCCCCCCTTTCCTCCCCCCCATACCAGGCCGTGGCACGTTCGGACAAACGGACGACGAAGACCGTCCGTACGCCTGTACGACCGTCCGTTCGTCCATACACACGAGTCGTACGGAGAACCCCCGTACGACGTACGGGGGACGACATTGATACATTACTTCAAATGTATCTTTTCGAGAAGGATAATCAGCTCCACAAATATCGATTAAAACTCAAAATCTTGTGTTCGGCCTCATACCCAATCAATATGCACAAATAATCTCAATCACGGGATCGGATAGATCATGTGACCAAGCTTGACAACGACTACAACCATATTTCTGGTCCTGATATCCGCTGCCAAGATGTTGACATAACAACCTCACAATAAGAGTTGCGGCGGCTGAACTATTCTAGGGAAGTCAAACCTCTCATCATCGACTTGATGATGAAGTTAGACGCCATGAAATTATGGGAAGTTGCACATGATGCGTCCACTGACTCCTTGAATACTTAGGGGCTCGTTCAACACTCCTTGGGGCGTCCTCGGGGCCGAAGGAGATTTCCTTGGGAGGTTTTAAGGAAATTCTTGCCATCGTTCCACCTGTCCTCGGGAACGTCGCCCGAGGACATTTCCTTTGAACGATGTCAGACAAGAAAAAAGAAAAGAAATAAAAAATCAAATGTGTTTGAGGCCTTCAGTCAATAGGGTGCCGCCGCGATCCTGATTCTCGGTTGTAACATCTCTCTAGCCATGTGCCCGCTCCTCACTACAAAACGCGGATTCCTTTTGCCCAAGGGACCTCGTGAGGTCCCTTGGGCAAAAGGAAGAGATGGTTGGGGAATCCTCGGAGCCCAAGGAATTTCCTTCGGAGTGTTTTCATTTATTTTTTTCCGACTGCATCCCCGAGAATAGGTGGAACGAACAATTCCTCGGGGACTTTACGCACCCGAGGAGTGTCAAACGAGCCCCTTAATCATATATACGTTTTTTGAACCCATCCTTAGATACGAGATGGCGTCATATCAACATAGTAAATTAAATGAATACACCCAACATATCTACTCATCAAGCTAAAACTATTTTTGTGCGACCTCTTTGTTTTTCCGATGTTGAAGTACTTTTCGAGTCCACTTCCTTGTTGACTCGATTGGTAGTGGTTGATCTTATCTCAATTTGACTCGGTCGAATTGGTTGATTTTACTTAACTTTGTGTTATTGGTTCTAAGTTTCGACTTTGTTAATTATATCTCGTGTTATCTGATCACGCTCATATTATAAATTGTTCAACTATGGTTGATCTAGTTATACAAATGTTCGATTGATACAAATACTATTTTTCCATGCATACTTTGCAATCGACTACAGTCAATCCTATCTGATGTCGTCGTGTTAATTGTCATGATGACTTGAAGTACGAGTTACGCTTCGTTGCAACAGTCCTAGTCAACTGACGTTAACTTTGTACTTAGGACATCAATGCCCTAGGGGCTCGATCGATATTTGAACTACTAGTACTTATATTGCGGCAAAACGAATAATCACCCTTGATTCATTTGATTGCATGGAAACAAATTTATTTGAGGATCATTAGTTTTGTACGGATATGCCGATAAGGGTGGTGACAACCACTTACCTAAGTAAAAGTTGTGCTTCACGAGAACCCTTCGTGTCGCAGGGGCCTGCTGGAGGTACAACTGGCGCACTACCCGTGGTTGGACGACGGTGGGTTCTATGTTGTCTCGAAGTCCTTAAAACTCATGCATGACGCGCCTAGGAGGGCTTTCTGCGAGAAGGTGAAATCTTATGCGCTCCAAACCGTGACAACTTTCTAGTCCGGTTATCTGATCAGTAAGGGCAGGGTTGCCGTTGTTTATGGTAGACACTAGGTGACTAGGTTGAGACTGATGGAGTGAGGGTGCGCCAGAGAAAATTATCAAGGTGGGTTGGGGTCCTGTAAGGGGAAGACACAATCAAAACCACGAATTGTCTCTACTCCACATCCACACAGTTCAAGTTTGTACTTATATTTGAGTGGACCCATGTGTTTCATTGTAATATAGCTGGCACGAGACCACCGAAAAAACACCTCTAGGTGACTGGACCCCCAAGACAGCAACTACAAAAGCAAACACTGCTGTGACTCCGCGCACCATAGTAAACGACGATGTGCGAGACCACCAAAACAACACATTGTTGTGACCTGTGACTCTGCGGGCTTCGGGATATGGAAACATGCCAGAGTGCCAAGACCGCTGTGACTCCACGTGCTCCAGCGAATGGCAATGTGCTGTTCCATGTAAAAGAGACTTAACTGATGTTCAAGACCACAGGAAAGAGACTCTGCTAGGGCTATGTGCACCCTGGGGACCACGATGAGCAGGACCACAAAAAGAGACGTTGCAAAAATGACATTTGTGACCTAAAAAAAGTGAACTTCTTTCACACCCCACGAAACGACACTGTGCGCATCTGTGAAAACAAAAATTTGGACCAGAGGTCCAGAGCTGCCAGGCTGTTTGGCCCAGTGCATCTCGGCTCGACTTTCGAAAGTACTGGTGGTTTTGGGTCTTGCTCCACTACTCTATACTCTTGAAATTTCGAGAGTAAGGCCTCGCTCCACTACTCTATACTCTCGAAATTTCGAGAGTAAGGCCTCGCTCCACTCACTCTAGATAAGTGCTCTCGAAAATGCCCTTCGAGAGCTGTCAGAAAGCACTCTCGAAGGGCACTCTCAAAGTGTCTAGAGTGCCCAGCCTGCGACGACATGCTTTTCCAGTGTCCTCCCTCGTAACCCCGCTCCGACCATTTTTTTTCATGAGTGCGCCTCGTGTCCCGACCATCAGAACAGGGCGGCGCTGTCTCTTAGTGCAGTCAGAGAGCTCGTCTCATTCCACCATGCATCTCGAGCAAAGCCTTCTAGTGTAAGTGGAGCCAAGACTTTTTTTTCGAGAGTTTTGCACGTCTGACAGCTCTAGAAGGACTCACGAAAGTCGAGAGTAGTGGAGCGAGACCCATTGTCCATCCGGGCCTCTTTTTCCTGATGGTTGCCTGGCCCTGAAAATCTGAGTCTGAGCAGTCGGACCCAATCTTGCTCGGCCCCCACCCTCTCTTCCCTCCAGATCTCGGCTCTGTGCAGCTATAACCACTGTTGGAAAGACCTAGGTGGGCCACAGACCGGGGCTTCAACTCCCGACTTTCATTAGATGTTTCAGCCAGGGCCAACCTCCAAAGCACCGCCCTAAGAGCCTGAAATAGAGTGGTAACTGGCCGACTCTCAAGAACCAATCTGAACAGTGGCATATTTCACCCACATGAGCCCTTTATAGGGGGTAAGACCAAATTGGACCCATATTTGGCCTACAGTGCGTCCCGACCGCCCTCAGCGCCCAACCCTATTCCAGCAGCACCCTACCGGCGATATGACCTGCCTGAACGGAACTTCCGAAGAGCGTGTCAGACATCCAACCCAGCCGTCTTGCCCGGGCGTTGGCATGAACGGGACTTCCTGGGAGTGCCAACTGCGCAGGCATGCAACGGCGCAACCACATTCATTTGCGAGGGCGGTGTCAGTTCATGTTTGAGCTGACAGGCCCCAGGGACGAGGTGCCACTAGCAAAGGGGGTTGGATTAAATGTCTGAATCTGGATCTGTTTTTTATGCGGAAAAGCATATTCATCGTGACTTTCAGTGGCTTACACGTCCAGATGCAAGCGTGAAATCCAATCCTCCTTACTCTCGTTTGGCGTTCCAACTCCGCGCGTATTTCAACAATACATGGGTGTGCCAAGCGGTACCAACTGTGCTAGGCCCACTGGTGAGGCCCAGGTGCCAACTGTGCTACGCCCATTGGTAAGGCACCCGGTTGTGACCGTATCTGGGCATCCTCACATTAGCACCTTCCTGGATGTATCTGACGGCAATCACGTCGAAAGGTGTAGCAGAAAAACTCTTAGACTGGAAAAATACCTTGCAAACATTCAGGAGGAGGGCGCGTTGTGCACGGGGGAAGCCGGCAGTGATTGGGGCAGCGTCAGTTCAGCATGAGACACTGGCCATATGTTGTATTTATTCAGCGGAGTCCTTCGCTGTAAGCGGTAGTGATAGCGATTGTGACGTCGAGAAGTCGAAGCGGGAGTTCACTCTACTAGAGAAGGTGATCGAGGACAGGTTGAGGCGAATCTGTCTGGGAGTTCGGGTAATGAGGAGGCGATCGTGGATTGAAAATTCGTAAAGCGCATGCTACGCGTACAGGCTGCATCAGCGGGGCTGGCGGGGAAGAACTACCGAGACGGAAGGTGCAACACGAGATCGGCAGAAGCCAGCACGAAGAGTGAGAGAGAGAGAGAGCTAGCGAGCGAGCGAGCGAGCGAGCGAGAGAGAGAGAGAGAGAGAGAGAGAGAGATGGCCTGGTGCGTGGGGAGGCAGTGTGCGGCAGCTGCTGCGGCTGCTGTCTGTATGTCAGTGCTGTGCTTGGCGGTGTGGCCGCAGCAAGCGGTGTGTGGCCTTGACGTGGCGCGAGTGCCACTGACCACTGACTCGGAGAATGATTTGGTACAGTCGGAGGAGTGGGTGAAACAGAGGATGCGGGGAGCGTGGAACGATTTCTGGGGGACGTTGTCCTCTTCCGTGAAGAATGCGGGGTTGCACGGTGCAACCGACGCCGACGCCGATGCCGACGGTGATATCGCCGACGACAGGAGTGATGATCCTGGTTATGCCTCTGACTGGGGTGTTGGCGACTCACATGGCGGGCTCGTTGAGGAGGTGGGAGCAGACCTGAAGCGGACCCGTCGGAGTTCGAATCCTATGCGCACGCTGTGTATTCCGGTGACAGCGCAGCTCGTGGAAGATCACGAAGGGCGCCATCGCTGCGTGTACGAGACTGAGAGAGGTCACAAGGCTGTTGGAGTGGCGTACGACCTTGACGATGTCCCCGACGATAGGAAGACCGAGCTTAGTGTGGTGATGGCTGACTACGACAAACTGTACAGAGGCGGTCAATGCTTGAACGACTTCCAGATCACAGCTCTGCTGGCCATCGACGTGAAGAGAGCTCTCGATCGTGTGGCTGGATGCGTTCGTAACCTGGACGACATCTGCTGCGACGTGCAGTCGGCGCTTGCGGACGTCATGTTTGCAGTCGGCGAGAGCGAGTTCTGCTCCGAGAGGTTCCTCAACTTCCGGGAGGAAGTTAGCGCGAAGGACTGGCAGAAAGCGGCCTCCGCTCTGCGCTGCTTTGACTGGTGTAAGGACGACAGGCGGTCTAGGCGGTGCGAACACGATGCGAGCATCATTCACGTGGGGTGCTAACTACAATGTGTTCGAAGCGAGCATCATTCATGTGGGGTGTAACTACACAAATGCCACGTGTCTGCAGGCGACCTATGACTGTACTGATGTTATCTGTGACGAAGACGCCTAGCGCCGCTCGTTGGACTATGGGCGTAGTTCGTTCTGTGTTGGAAGTGGGCCTCCCTCCATTACTCACGAACTGTGCAACAAGGTCATGAATCGTCCGCTAGAACGTGGGCATCGCGGCTGTATTCTAGTGGATATGTGGTGCGCAGTGGAGAGAGGCCCACTGGTTGCGTGTTTTGTCAATGAATCGTGTGGAAGTGAGGATGCAGTCCATGGACGCCGGTTCGTCTTTGCAGCGGTTTTTGTTTCTAAGTGAGTGTCGATGGCGGTCCCAGGGGATGGTACGGTCATACCGCGGCTAATGCGCCCAATGCCTACCCGATCTCGGAAGTATAGCGCCGCTGGGCTGTAATAGTACTGGGATGGGTGACTTCATGGGGTTTTGATTTGTCGTTGTGACGGCGTTTCCGTGGACCTGTAAGTGTCCATGTTGGTTGTTCATCACGCCGTGGAGTTTCGATCTGGGGCTGATTTGTCGTTGACAGTGTAACGGCGTAGTGATCTATAAGTGTCCATGTTGATTGCATCACGCCGTGCAGTTTCGAGGAGGTAGTGTGGGCAGCGGTAGCTACGATGGAATTTTCAGTTGTGATAAAGGTAGGTACGGCCCTCCGAACCTGGTGGAATTAAGCCCAAGGTGTTGTGTAATAGAGGGGCTCTCGGTTGAGGGCTTGGTTGAAGAGGCTCTGGTGAGGGCTTTAACGACGTCGAGCAATACGAGGGAGATGTGTGCCGTTAGGTTGTAGCAGTTTGGAGGTAATACGAAGTTGTTGAAGAGTATGTCTGAGACTTGAGTGCATCCGAAGGACGCACGTTTTTTTGTGTTAGTCGCTTCCAGCGTTGTCTGAGCTTTGAAGTAGGTCATGGTGGGTATGAAGCAGAAGCAGACCATGGTTGGTAGGAAATGGTGTATTGTGATGGTGAGTACTCAGTCTGAAGTCTTGCGGGACTTTCAAGGATCACCAGGGGTTGAAGCTTTTGTATGGAGTTGTGGAGGTAGATACTACAGATGACTTTGTAGTCCGTTTCTTCCACAATCATGTTTGTTACGGTTTGTATTCTGCCTTACGTAGTTGGACGGAATGTGGCTGCAATTTGTGGTGAGATGCATGCATAATGCCGGAGTAAGGTTACGAAGACGATAGATGGGATCTGGCCGCAAAATGTGCTCAGACGTTTCCGGAATGCCGTAGTTAGTGGGTTCATGAGTGTTAGGGTCTGAAGCAGATGCAGCACCAAGATGTCTCCCTGTTCGAGTGCAATTCGTTTGTGCTTCATTGTGCACGTCTATTTTCACATCGCACCTGGGCGTGACGTTTGTCAAATTGTCAGGATTGCTTATATTTTGTGTTGTGTGTTCCATTCCTAATGTCGAGATTGCTATTTGGCTGCGTGTGTGGTGCGTTCATCGCGCATGGCGAGGTTGTCGTGCTCCGGTTTTTGTTCTTCGGTCGCATCTCTCTCTCTCTCTCTCTCTCTCTGTGTGCGTAAGTGTGTGATGAATTATACGATTTTGTGGTGGAATGGGTGTACACTACAAACATAATCTCTCTCTCTCTCTCTCTCTCTCTCTCTCTCTCTCACACACACACACACACACACATACAAAGATCTCTCTCTCTCTCTCTCTCACACACACACACACACACACACACACACACACACAAAGAGCTCTCTCTCTCTCTCTCACACACACACAAAGATCTCTCTCTCTCTCTCTCTCTCTCTCTCTCTCTCTCTCTCATTCTATCTATAATATAAGTTTGTATGTGATGAATTGTTTTACTGTGGTGGAATGGGTTTACTTTACACAACATAAGCATCGACTACAAAACGCGTGTGTGGGAAAATGCCCTTATGCTGCGTCTTCTATCCCGTGGCGAATTAGAGGTACAGCTCGTCGCACTTCTTGAAGTTGTACTGTGAACATTGTGTGTGTGCACGTGCGTGTGTGGTACTCTGAATGTGTGTGTGTGTGTGAGCGCATGTCGTGCATGAAGGATGTGTTTAGGTGTTTCGGTGGAAGTAGTTTCCTGAAGCCGAAGCATTCAACAATCATATAGCGCGAATGTTCCACAGTATGAAATTTTTGACTGCCGCGGAGTATGGAATATAACAATTTAAAGAGTAACAATACCAAGTAGTGGCGGGTGTGTTCCCGACGTCGAAATTTATGAAGAGATTATCAGGAGGAGAATGCGAGGCAGTAAACAAATCTAGATACTAACGAAATGTCGCACAAATGCATGTATATTACGTTTGAATGGAGAGGGAAAGAGAGAAAGTATGGAGAGGGGGGCAAAAAAGAAGGAAGATTTTAAGTGCACGCGACTGGTAGGACAATTCAGTGTGGCCACTGGATTTTCATAAACGGAAGAGTGCATGGCCATGGGAGTGCCAGCCTGGCGATTCGACGTGCGTGGATTGTCTGATACATGGCAGCAGTTCGTGGCCTCATCAGGAATTGTGAGAGTTCCGTGTTAAATGCTGTGAAGTCTATCACGTGTATAACTAGTGATATATGGAGTTCAGTCAGACGACTAACTGTTTGGTACCTGTGCTCGCAGTTGTATCACGTGTGCGACGTCTTTTTGAAGAGATCATAATGTACTTGTCACGATAAGTCCATCGTCACGATAAGTCTCCATGCAAGCGGTAGATTAACGTTGGGATACGCGAATGGAGAGAAATGTGACAGAGGTCCATGGTTATGGCGTCTATTTTTGACCTTTGTCCCATTTGTGGCCTCGTCCGGCTCCGCTCTCGAGTCTCTACATCCTTGTCCGGCTCCCCGCTCTCTGCACCCCTTTGAGTAGTGGTAGGGGTTGGGCGTTAGGCGTATATGATTTGAGGACCAAACACCCCCCACGAGTAGTGGTAGCGGTTGGGTGTTATGGTTCCCAAGTGCTGGGCTTCGACTGGGTTGGTACCTGTCTGTGTTCCCATCGAGGGGGTTGATTGGGGTGTGAATCTGGAGAAGGGTGTCTCGGTTGGGGTGTCATCTTAGGCAGGGAAGAGTGGGTCGCCACATTGATAGCAGAAGGGGGGTGGTTAGTCACCCAGTCTGCTAGATGTGATACAGGTGGGGATGATCACATATCTTTGACCCCTCGTGTGGCCGGGTCGTTGTTGAGAATTGAGGGTGTCCCTATGGTAGGGCCTAGGGGAACCCGTCGGAGACCCTTGGAAGCCCTGGGTTGGTGTAGGTCTAGGTCTAGAGACTGGTCGGGGTTGCACTGCTATAGCCTGTAGGGCTCGACGAGGATAACGAAAAGCTCACGAGTATGATGCCCCCTGTAGCCTGTAGGAGCCTGTCCTTGGGGCTGTTACAAGCCGTCTGATCGTCCCACCGGCTGAGTACGACGACAGGCACCTCCCATGCCCTAGCATCCAGCCTGCCAACAAACACGTTTGCGAGCTGCCAAGCCTCTTTTGAGGTGTATCCATGCAGATATACTGGTCGTTGATGTTTCAGCGGCGAATATACTTCGTGGTAGTACCTCTTTGCACCAGAGGACCCGTCGGACTTGGAGCCCCTGCCTCAGGCCCTTAGGCCAGGCTGACGGGTTCTCTGTTACAAAAGGAGGTACCAGTGCACCCGGTAAATCGGCGCAGAACCTTCTAAAGATGGCATTTCTGCAACAGCCTCTTCATTGAAATGATATATTTGCCACAGTACCTGTTTGGACCGGTTAAAGTTGCGATAATATGTTTAAAAACTTGAACCGCATATCTATGTTCTCCGTAACGAGTGATTCACAATTTTTTTCTTTTGAACTTTCAGTTGTTAATCGAACCTTCTGGTTGCAAACTTGCAATTTCCCCTTGGGTGTACCTAGGTACTATGTAGAAATTTGGTGTTTGGGCCCGCCTTTGAATGGTTCCTTGAGCGGTGCAGGATACAACTGATGCTAGTTCTCCTTATCAGTCTGTCGAATTTCCAAGTCTTGATATCATTTGGGATTTCTTCGTCTTCCACTCCTAAGGTTGTTGCTCCCTGCTCTGCAAACTGAAACTTTTGGAAGGCAAACTGATGTGATGTGAGCAACAATTGTAAGAGGTTCGGGATCAGATTCTGCCCAATTAAATGTTGTTCGACTGGCCGAATAGCATTATCCGTTCGAGTCGGTTCTTTCTTTGACGGTCTCACAGTGTTTTGACCGGCTTTCTGGGGCCTGGAAGTCGAGTCAAAGTTATACATGTAAATAGTTACGATCTTCCAATAAAAAAAAAAATAATAAAAATATTGGCAAGTGAAAAAGAAAAAAAAGAAAGATTTGTACTTCGAAAGTAGGTGATTCAATTCCATTTTCTCCTATGAATATTAGTTAATGTTTTAATAGAATACAGTTTTCTCAACAAGCAAATAAATCAATTGTAGGCTTGTGAACGGTGCCATTGACAATTTGTGCTATTGATTGCCTTGCTTGGATTTGTATTTTGTTTGTTGCAGAGATTTGAAGAGAAGGGATTATTTTGGGTACATACCAGCGAATGGGACAAGAAAGAGAGAAAAGAGACGGCCAACAACTACTGCCAACTAGTTTCTGAACACAAAGTTTAACTTGTCTTTACAAGAAATCTCTACACACGTGCTCTTCCAACTCCGAATGTGATGTCATATCCCCACTTCTGAGTGTAATGGGCCAAGGGCCCAATGCGGCCTTGACCTCTCGCCTGTCCGACACTCCTACCTAATTAATTATTAGCCACCCTGCTACTACCGGTGGGCTACCGGTAGGCTACCTGGTAGTACCTAACGCTCACACACTCACATCAGCAGCACACACCAGTGCCGGCTACATCAGCAGCACACACCAGTGCCGTACCCCCGTTCACATCAGCAGCACACACCAGTGCCGTACCCCCGTTCACCGTTAACGGCCTTGGTGAGCGTGGGCCGGTCACCAGTCATGTTTTTCGTAACCGGTTGGCTGCCCCAGTCATGTTTTTCGTAACCGGTTGGAGTTCAGGGAGTTCATGCAGAGCGGGAACTCCGTTTTTTTTTTCTTTTCTGGGCTTGTATGGGGCTGTTTTCTTTGCACACGTTTGTGCTCCATGTCAATGGGCACCTGTCCATTTTTTTTTATTTTTTATTTCGGAATATATTGTGTTAATTTTATTGAAAACAAAATTAAAAATCAACTTCGGCTGCGTTAGGCATGGCTTTCGTCGGCCGTGGGGCATTCGCAGGCTGTTCTGGGCCCTAAAAAAAACAATTATGATGATATTATGATGACATCATGACACAGTGGCAGGCTGCCAGCGCCATACTACAAAAAAGAAAAACAAAAAAAACAAATGGTCGGGCTTTCTTTTTCCGCAGGGCCCTACACCAACACCCCGCCCACCAGGCCCACCTGCACCCCTAAATTTTATTTTATTTTTTTTCTAAGATACCCCGTTCTGTTTTTTTTTTTTTTTTTTTTTTTTTAGATTTGGAGGCAGGAGGGTGTAAAAGGCCCCCGCACCCCCCCCCTCCTGCCCTGATTCCAATGGTACCGGCGGCTGTTCACAGATTTTGGCCCCCGTGACCGGCTGGTCATGTTCAGGTGACCGGTGCCGGTCGGCGGTCACGTTCACGGGACCGGCACTGGCACACACAGTTTCCTTGCTCTGGTGCTTTCTGATTCGGCACCATGGATTGTCTCGTATCGAGATCATTTGTACCTGCTACCTAATGATTAGCCACCTGGATCTCGATACCAGACAATCCCTCCCGCACTCACGTCTGCTCTTGTGTTTTTCTGATTGGCCAGTGGCCACCATGGATACAAGGGTGATACGACCCGTGAAAATTCCTCCAGCAGACGCCTTGTTGAAACGTGGATCTTAACGTTAATTGTTTGAGTGGTTTTCCTTTCCCGGAGCTGAGCTCCGACGCAGCAGATCATCAATGTCGGCCTCTGCAGCGCAGAACATGTTGTGCAGGTGATGCAGCTATTGAGGATGTGGCACAAGGGAAGGTAGCGGGAGGTGGGAGGGGTGTGATATGCAAAGTCACGCCAGGGGCAGCGTTCCGTACCCGTGAGAACACCGATCAGAGTAGGTGGGGCGTGGCAGAGGATTTTGGACAGGGAAATTGAACCGCCAGGATGGAACTGGGTTCTCACTTCAGCCCCAGGGTTACCTTAGGGGCTCGGCCACAGACAAAGGAGAAAGAAGGAAAGAAAAAAAGAAGAAAAAAACACTTGTCAATGCACAGGGGGACGCCATCCAAACAAACAATGGACTTTCCGCACCTTACACACCTCACACATATCCACGTGTACACAAACACATGCACACAACCTCGCATCTTCTAATATATTGCCTACTATACCTTTTTTGTTTTATGGACGGTTTGTGATGATTTGTGGATGGAATGAGAGAGAGAGAGAGTTTGGGGTTCTTTGAATAGGCACACACACACACACACACACACACACACACACACAGAGAGAGAGAGAGAGAGAGAGAGAGAGAGAGAGAGAGAGAGAGAGAGAGAGAGAGAGAGAGAGAGGGTTTCCTGGTGTCTTCAACACCGTCCTTAATGTTTTCGCCACCTGGGACACTAAGAGCCCGACTGGGTGATGGTGATTTGATGAGAATGGAGAGAAGCGAATGCTGGACGGTGCCAGTCTACTCATCGGGAAATCTGACGGCCTATCCCACATGATGAAAAATAACTAAAGTTAGTTAAAAACACGAGTCCAAATACCATTAACCTCCAAGCTTTTCTAACGAGTCCTGTGTACCTTAAGACAAAATATAAAGGACTCTGCATTTCTCTCACAGCCGCTGGATGGTGCATTGGCTTCAGTCCTCGTCCTCTGCCATTATGTTATGTTATCACAAACACACCCTCTATGACAGACTGCCACGTTGCCAACTGTGAGAACTAAGAAGAATCAAGGTGATGCGTACTTTGCCAAATCCAGCCCTGAGGAAATTTTCCTCCACGGAGTCCGCTCCACTTGCACTCTTCGGACTCTTCCTGAGTCTCCCACGGTTGATTTGTCACTTTCTGCAGAATCTGAATCTGCACCAGTCGAGCTAGAACACAACAATGGCCATGGTCGACAGACTCGACACTATGATCTCAAAACTGGGTTGGGAAAGGATTTTGTATCTTTTTACTAATTAAAATCCTTCCCTGAGAATCGTACCTCCATGCACTAGTATGATACGATGACCGTCCCGGCGTCCCGGTCCGTCCGGACTCCTGAACATCTTGGAGTTGGAGATAGAGCAAGTCACCTGACACCTGACCTGTTTATCGAAAAAAGGATAGTTAACACTAACAGAGTGCCAGAGGGCCCTATGTAGAATCGTAATTAATATTAGACGATATGTCCTTCTCACAAAGGAAAGAGGGTGATTGTGCTGTCTGCATTCATAGTGGAATCATCATTCAATAGTCTCCTGCTGGTGGCTCAGAGTCAGAAGTACCCATTGCAATGTCGCCGGCCAGACAACCACCACGAAGACCGCCTGGAATCTGAACACAGCCCAGCTGCAATCACTGGGTTCAAAACGGTTACACAATATAAATTATTTATTAACTAATTTTAAATTTTACATTTTTAATTAGTACACTAATTATAAAGTATAGAAAGGTTATAACTTGAAACGGGTTATGAACAAATATCCCCAGGTTTGCGACACGCACTCGCAAGCCCAAGTGTGCGCACGCCACCACCAATTTTGGAAGGGACGGAATCCGACGGATAACGCCAACTTGAACTATAATTATAGTCAACATTCAAATTAATAAAATTACAGCTGCATTCATTTCCAAATTCCACAACACCAATCCCAGTATTAACGGCTCTCAGCACAAGGACAATCTCAGTAACTAATGGAGGAAGATAGATTAGATCATTAAAAAAAAAAAAAAAGATCATTGACAAATGTGTGCTCGGTGCACATTATATTAAAGGGAGTGCGCACGTTACTAGTGCTTCTTAGGGAAAATTCCACCAGCGGAGGACTTTTTATCCTGCATCTGGACATAATTATAACGGTTGGATACGTCCAGGAACACGCTAAGCTTATGTCTGACTCAGTACGCCGCCATAAGTTAGTCAGCCAGCTATTGGATTCCTAATCTGAACATTTACACTCTTTAAATTATCAGTGGATTTTCAAGCAGGGACATGCAACTTGATGCAAGTGTTGAATTTGGAACTTTATCCAGTCTGAGAGGGAAGAGATCTTCTCATACATACCAGTAGGTGGCTAGGAGCAACTGCTGTAATGCCATCAGACACCTTTAAGTTAGCATAGGAAGCGTCACAACCAGGAGAACATACCCCCGCCGAAGTCAGGGAATGTGTTTGTACCCCCGAGAATGCTCTATAAGAGAGATGAGGACGTCGGACTTTTCAACCTTCAAAACTTCCGATTGGAAACGAAGAAAGCTTCACATGTTACATGCCTGGCCCAGTGGGAGGTTGGGAGCAACACCTATGTCGTCAGCTTCGTTGGAGCAGCGGCCATCACCTCACCGAGAACCTTCCCGCCGACATCAGGGAATGTTTCGACCCCTGGCAATGTTCTGACAGATCCATCCATCTCCACTCTGATGGGATAGGGGCAAAGATGACCTCTCAGGTTTGTAATGTTGGGTGCCATATAATCGTCCCAATTGACTGATGCTGCCCCCCGCACATGATTGATGCAGTCCAGCGAGGACGGCTCGTTGAACTCTGGGATGAGATGCCCACCAAGATGCTCAGTCCACAGCGACAAACGGAACCCGTACACGTCTGATCGAGGAGTCCTTCCATTTGACTTGGAGACTGTGTATTGTGGTTGGAATGCCCCCATTGCAATCTCGGTGTCACGCGTTCCATCCATAGACCGTTCGTTGATGTTCGCTGATCCCACAATGATGTACTCATCATCGACAATCATCATCTTCGAGTGCACGTAAATCATAAACCGACGCTTTTGGTAAGCCAGGTCCAGAGGCGAACAGGGATTAGGTTCTCTACTCCTTCCTAGCTCATTTGGTAGGAGAGCCTCCCGATTCACAAGACAGAAGAAGTTCAAGTATTCCTGAGGATGGACATTCGTCTTCCCGGTATCATTTAGAGCAGACCTAACAAGTTTGTACATCATCTCCATGGTTTGGTACTGCATGACAATGATGACACAACAGTGGAGAACCACAAACTCAACAGTAGTTAATGTCATCATTCTCCATTGCCCAGACAGTCACCCAGCTCTCCAGCCACCAAAACTTTGCTAGGCTCACAGGCTCCCATAACTGTAAAAAACACTGTTGCACATCTTTGACAAAACCCCACACGCCACCAACCAACATCGATTAACGTATACAGAAAAGCCTAGTAAGGGTAACATACAGCAGGAGGCAGCCCCTCAATATGCTACGAAACATCCCCAACCCTCCCTTATGACATCCATTACCTAGTATATAACCTATTCTAAGCGTTCTCTGTGATCTTTGTTAACCCATGGACTGTCCCCTTGGGACCCCGTTTATTCCAACATCTCATCAACACGCCCCAGGCCTCTCAAACACCAGTGCAAATTGTGAAGGCAAGAAAAACAAGGTTAACCCACGCGGTTTTGCATGGAGTCAGCGGTAAAGGAATGGGAGGAGACACAGAGAGAGACAGAGAGAGACAAAAGGACAGAAAGGTAGGAAGGCGGGGCCATGCATAGTATTACATGGTACAGAAAGATGGATGGATGGATCCATAAGCGGAGTGATGAAGCAAGAAAGTTGGTCAGCAACCAGAACAACACCAAGCCACACATTGCCGTATAATCCATGATAGACCCTCTTGACACACCATCTAATGCCCTTCATATACCACATTCCACCCATTGCAAAGTTTCCACTTCTCCCGCCAAGATGAACCGTTGGGTGAACAAATGCTCTTTTCCAATATTATATATTGATTAGGCGCCGCATACTCTCTACTCAGACAAATATTGCTTGTCTGCCAATTTTACATAACTTTTTTTTTCCAGATTTTTTAATTTTGTTCGCTCCCCCTCCCCCCCCCGCCCCCCGTACAACGCACATACATGACGTACGTGGCCACTTCAACAGAAAAAAAGGTGGTATTTTGGGGAGTCAAGTTTGACTGATTTCTTGTCCAAGTTCTTCACTAAATCAACAGTTGTTCAATGACATGTGTTTTTATGGAAGGAATCCGTACTTTCATCAGGAGGGCAATCAAACCAACAATGGTCCTGCAGTCAGTCTGGGCCCTGGGGGCATCACCAAGAACAACAACAGCTCTACGTTGAATATGCGTACGTTATGTACAGAAAGGCCCCAGACATGTACGTGCGACAACATACATCTGATGCGCAATCAAAGGCCGTCCATTCTGCTCCGTATGTTTGAGGACCTACTGCATCCAGGCACATAATAGTGGCAAACAGAAAGATCCTGGCTGCCCAGAATCCCCGGATTGGGAAATCTCCACTGCAGTTCACTCTCTGGGTCAAGATCTCACTTATCCTTCAAGTTCCTTACTAGGATCAGCGAGTTAGTAATGGACTGAATCAACTTCAGGTAGGCAGCCCCAGGCAGGCCAAGACTGTCACTGTTCAAATCCAAAAAAGACTTGCCTGCTCCAGCGGCCATTCAATCTGCCTCGTGCAGCTGCGAGAGTGCACGGCCAAGGATCATGAGCAAGGGCAGGGGAGGCTAGCCTGAGGATGATGTACAACCATCTGGCGGCCATTGGGTGGCTGAAGAGGCGGTCCTCAGCCCATCAACACACAGTTAGTATACGATCACATTCATGGAGAGTTCCCCATTTTGTATGATTGCATTCTGTAAGGGACGCTGGACCCTATTTCCAGCAGGTGCTGCTCCCCACGAATAGATTGGACCCACCCTCCTTCAGGAGGGTAGCAGGGGCTTCTCTTATCACCCCTGCTAGCCAGCCAGAGGAAGTGTTTGGGGAGGAGGGGGAAAAAAAAAAAAACTCATGGAATACTCCAGCCTGCCATCTCAGGAACTGCAAGCCAGGATTCTGGTGGCTGACACTGGACGTGCTGGGGCGTTTCCCTGTAACCTGTTGTCCACAGGAGCGTGAGGCCTGGTAGAGAGATCTGGGGGAATCGCTTTAAGGGGGCATTCAACCAGGGGCTGTGGCCAGGACAAGGATGGCCAGAGCTGGCGCGGCCGTGCTGCCCTGTAACTGAGCATGTTGGGGGTGTGAGGGTTGGTAGAGGCTGGGTTATGAGAACAGGACATTCTTGGCAGGCTTGGATTCGGCCTGTTCTTTACTTAGGAATCTTGGTTTTCTGTATTCCTGTGATTTTTTTTTTAGTACTTCAGTAGTTTTCCTATGAATTTTCTGTTATTGTCAGCCAAAGCCGAGGTAATGGCCCCGGTATTCCAATTTTTTCTGCATAATTTCTGATTATTTGCATATGGGACGCTGGGCCCGGTTCCCATTATGTGCTGCTCCCCACGAATAGATTGGAGCGCTGTCCCATTAAAAAAAAATAATAATAAAAAAATATATATATCCTTCTCTCCCATGAGTGTGTTCTGACTACGTGTTTGATCATGTCCTGGAAGCTTTTCATGATTGATGGGCTTATTGCATAGTGGTTAATGATGGCATTATTGCACATTCGGCACGCAGTCACCCAATAGCAATAATTCATATCAGACTGTCACAGTGTCACATTATGGCCTTCAAGTTGGCCTAAGCTCCTGGTGAGAGATTTGGGTCCAGGCAGGGGTCACACACCTGCCAATGGAGTGAAGTTTGCACCATCCCGCTTTGAGGTTCACCCTCTGGAAACATTGGGATGACTATGTAGACTGCAAATCGCTCATTCTCGCGGATCTTGTCAGCAATCTTTAGCGCAATTTCAGCGGGGATTAAGTTGTTGCAACCTGCATTCATAAAAGTTCGCCACATGTACGAACTGCCCATGAAGTACTGATTCTCAATATATATGAAGTGCTGGGCACGGCGAATAGCATTGATGTACGCATCCTGCACGCTTCTCTCAAAGCGGACACCCTTTCCCATGAGCAAGCCACGCGCCCGTACTTCATCTTGTTCGGTCGGCCACGCTGAGCCCTTGACAGAGCCAGAGTCAATGGATCTGAACACTTGAACGTGCCACGTATCTGGCTGCGACTCATGTGTAACCATGACCCCAGGATCACCATCCTGTGGGCTGTCCTCGGAAGGGGTGAGAATCCGTACAAAATCCTTGAGCTGCGGGAGAGAGTTACCAAATAGGTGGCCAGATTTCTCCCACCTTTCGGTGAAGTTCGTCAAAACATCAAATGCCACAGGCCCTTCTAACCGGCAATGGATGTCGTGCCACGGCTGGCGAGGACCACCATGAGGAAGTTTCGCAGAATCTATGCAACCTTGGTAAAAATCTTCGCCATGCATAGGAACATGGAGGGTGCGAAAGAGAGGATGAGACGGATTGTCGTATCTTCCATGACAAAGGTCGATGCCACCAATAAATGCGGCAACCCTCCGATGCCTTGACTGCCGCATGTTCAATGGTGGGGGCTTTTGCCCAAAGGTGTAGTCATCCACATCTACAATCACTGCCTTCTGATGATGTGAAATCATCAGGTGGGCCTGGTCGTCACAATTGCACACGCAACAACATAGCAGCAAAGAGACAAACAGCAGGGAATAAGAAAGAAACTTAAGAAACAATGTCATTAGTACACACACAATTAGTAGATGAAACATGGAAAGTTTGGGAACGAGACCAGCCATCAACCAAGCTAGCTCCACTGCCCATTTGGAGAGTCCATGGATCACCATCACAATGTGGGGAGATGTTACACAACGCCTTAAAGTTTGAAATGCAAAGTCCTTTTGACTTAGGGCCTGGGGCAATCTAACTCACCAATGCTTTGTAGTAGTCTCCAGTTCTCAATGATCAGAGTAGAGCAGAGTAGAGTATCATAGAGTAGAGTCGAGTCAGTAGATAAGAGTATCGTAGCATAGAGTACAGTAGAGTACAGTAGATTACAGTAGAGTAGAGAAGAGTAGAGATGAGTAGAATAGAGTATCTTATAGTAAAGCGAAGTAGAGTAGAAAAAGCGTAGACTAGAGTGGAGTGGAGTGGAGTGGCGTGGAGTGGAGTGGAGTGGAGCAGGGCGGAGTGGAGTGGAGTGGAGCGAGGCGGAGTGGAGCAGAGCGGAGACGAGTGGAGAGGAGTGGAGAGGAGAGGAGCGGCGAGGAGGGGAGTGGAGCGAAGAGGAGTGGAGTGGAGAGGAGTGGAGCGGAGTGAAGCAGAATGGAGTGAAGTGGAGTAAAGTGCAGCGGAGTAGAGTGAAGAGGAGTGGAGTGGAGAGGAGTGGAGTGAAGTAGAGGCCAGTGGAGTGGAAGAGAGAGGACGAGAGTGGAGAGTATGGTGCGTTGAGAGGAAGAGGGTCGCAAGCAGGCCTTCCACACCCCCCTTTTTTTGTTTGTTTTTAAAATCAGTCAATCAATCAAGAGGGCCCTCTCTCCCCCTTGCCATTGATTGATTGATTGATTGATTGGGAGGGAAAAAAAAGAAAAGGTGTTGGGGGAAGGGAAGGGTTGTA